AGCCAAGTGGCAGAAAAAGAAACCAGTCAGTGCAGAAAGGCATTGTCTGGACAGCCTGCATGCTGATGCTTGCAAGTTTTTCTGAACTACATGCAAAGGTAAACATAATCCTTTGTTACTGCTCTTTCCAGACTTAAGGAGGAATACATTCTACTGAGTACAGATGGCCCAGGAAGAAATGTGCTTAAATTCAAGCCCCCCATGTGCTTCAATATGGAGGATGCAAAATTTGTTGTGGACACAATTGACAAGCTACTAACAGGTAGTACAGATCAAAACTTCCTTATAGAGGGTTGCTGTTGGACTGCCTTAAAGTCAATGCTAGACTGCTGAGCCTGCTTTTCAGAAGTGCTAAAACAGAACTGAGATGGCAGATGCTAGGCCCATAGGAAAACTAGTCTTAGTCAATGCAAGTTTAGCCTTCGCTTCCGAATTGTTCTGTTTAAAAGTTCTCCAGTGAAACTATTTATTCCACAGATGCACATGCTTTTTAAAATAACTTTGTTCTGGCAGAGGCTGATGTGTTTACCTATCTGAACAAGGGCAACTGGTAAAAGCTGTCCCAATTTCATTCTTGAAAGCCACAGTCTGTGTGCATTTGCCACTGCTTTTGCACAACTTCTGCACACTCAGTATTAACCAAGCTGGTGTAAAAACTTGTCTCCAAGTCCTGAGTTTGCTAAATTGTTGCTTATTCTCTCTCCAGATATGGAAAAAGAAGGTCTGAACCAACAGAAAACATCCACTTGTTCTACCTGAGCAGGTATTTATCTATATTCATCCTTTACTATCTAAAAGCCAAGGTTCCTAAACATAACTTTACAAGCGTTGTCACTGGCAGTAGAGCAGGACTAAGCTTCCTCAGAGATTGCTTTTACTTGAAATTAGTTTGCAGGAAATTCTGTCAGTCTAGAAATGTGGACCAGACTTGTGTACATCTGACATTCAGAGCTACCTTCCATCAGAATCTGACACTTCTGGCGACACTGTATGTATTCATTTGTTTGCAAGCTAGGTCCAATGCATCCCAGAAATGCCTGCTGCTAGAGCATGCTGTGCTTGTCTGGGAAGTTTTAAGAGTGACTGGGTTTAACCCTTAGCATACAAATGACATGCACGTCAAGCCAAAAACGTAGCTTTTATACTAGCTGCTCAGTGCCTTAAGTCTCCAGCCAGAAGCTGTTCTGGCTGTGCAAACTCCTTCTCAACACATCTCTCAACTGCCCTGAAGGGCAGGAGCACTGTGGATTCTGCATGCCACAATTTGGGAACCTCCACTTACACTAACAGCTTTATGAAGAGCTATAAACAGTACTTTTACTACTATAGCTCCTGTTTTACTTAACATCTGACTTTGAAATAGTATTGCCTTCTGTTCTCTTGAGCATTTTTTGATTACTTTGTAGGATCATTTGAGGTTCATGGCTGTCATCTCATGCTTAAGCATCAGTTTACCCCTATACCCAGAAGTCTGTGGGCATCAGTAAGACTGAGACCTGTAAAGTCTTCCAAGCCTTGTAAATCTTAGTACATGTTGAGGTCTCTATCTAGAGTTTGCTTATAGAGAACACCCAGCTGCAACTCATTCTGCAACACACTCATGAGAACAGTGTACACTTACAGTTAACACCTTGATACCACCACCCTTTGGTACACTTGGTCCTTCTTCAATCTACTCTGACTAAAAGGCAACCACGTGGTTTTTAATCAAGTGCCCAGTACAACCCCAGGTACCTGGACAGGAATGTACCTAATGTAATTGTTGTGATCAGTGTAATCACTGGTGGCCTCAACCACCATACTAGACTCACAGTGCTATGGCCCTGAGCTAAGGAGAAACATGCTTTTCGTTCAGTGCAGTATTAGTATAGCAGGCATGAGAAAAATGTGTTAATATTTTATTTAACAAGTTAATGGAAAGACATACAGCTGTTTGTACTACTTATTCTTGAGAACAGAAAGATTACTCAACAGTGCCAGTTCAACTGTGACTTAATGTGCTTGTCTGCCATCTAAACTAAGCAATAAAAATGCATTTTCTACAGGAAATCAAGAATGCAAAAAGCCTCTTACTAAGTACAGTACTAGTATGGCACTTACATATAATGTAAGCGACAATGAGGCAGTGAAGTAGATTGCTTTTAATGATGCTTTTACAAAAACCATAACATTATTTTCTTTCCATAGGTTCCAAACAATGTTCAAGACCTACTAAGAAACATTATTCTACTATAATAATGCACATTTAATCTTCAATCCTAGCATGCCTTAGACCAGATAAGTTATCTTTGATTTTGTTATTTTCAGTTATCTTGTTATTAGTAAAAGCTTTAGGAGAAATAAATTTTACAAGAGCTTGTTTCAACTCTGGTAGAAGTGTGGAATTGGCTTTTATTTAAAACAGCATATCTAAAACTGATTATAAAGGAGTATTTCTAGTAGCTACTATAAACTACATTTTCTAAGTTCATGCTCTTTTAGGCTATGACTTTTTGAAAATTAAGACAAGCCAATCTTTGTTAGGTTTTTTTTTTTTATCTGCTGCTACCTATGCAAATGCCATTCTGGCTGCCAGTACACACATTCTTTCCCAGGCTCCTCTGACCAGTTTCATAACAAGGTCCCTAATAGCACTATATCCAGCAAATGGTCTCAGTGACCAGATTCAGTCAAAACTTCAGTCCCAAATTCATAACAAACACCTGAGGTACACAGAGCTGAGGGCCATGGCTCCCAAACCAGTTCTTATGAAATACTCTGTCCTCAAGAAATATCCAAGTAGGACTAGTAAATTAAGAGTACATTACAGCCATAACCAACAACCTTGCATACAAGCCCTGGCTTTCACCATGCAATTATTTGTTCTTTGTATCACAAGCTTTTCATGCAAGGAGGAAAAGGAAAGCCAGCTCTGCATTTAAGTACCAGTATCCTCAGTTTCTGCTTAAGGCCACATCACCTGTTAAGGAAGCATCACCTGAGAACCTACTTCCAAAAACCACCAAGGTAACAACCAGCTGACAAACTATTGCTAATGCACTAGCCAGAAATACTGCAGCAGTGTGGTCCTGATAACATGCAAGTTCCCTGTAGGAAGGCAAACTGCTAGCTAGAAAAAAAATATTCTGCTACCCCTTACTTTGTAAGAACAAAAAAGTAGAAGGCTGCAACAGAGTAAAGCATTTAAATTTTAAGTCTTGAGACAGTAATACTTTTAAATACTGTAACTCATGTTTCAGTGGTCTGCAATTTTTTAATTTGCAAGTTAGGCATTACGTTACATACTCCAGCTGTAAAGTTATCATGTCAACTACCAAATGTAAAATCTGCTGCATTTTTTATATTCAAGATTTCCACTTAACCCCAGAAAAGTCTTACAAACTTCTCACTTTACAGCACTTTTCCAGGACAGCCAGCAGGGAGCAGCATATTATAGTCCCTGCAGGAATAGCTGCATCCCTTGTTTAAAAAAGTGAAAAGGTCACCAGTAACATCTGTTTATATCTTGTCTTAGTTACTTTGTTCAATTCCACTTGTGGTTCCTGTTTGTTCAAACAGAATTTATTACAAGAATAAAACTGTCAGATTTTAGCTTTAAAAGGGAAGTAAAAATATAATTGATTATTGTAACAAAGATTAGAAGTTTACTTTGAGCAGCAGCACTTGCTACTTCTTCATAAATCTGAGATTGGGACTTACTCTGCAGCAAGGCAGGCAACTCACATGATAGTTATTGCCTTAAAACAGTAGTAAACTAGTCAAAAGAGAGTGTATTTCTAGCTGGTCACTAGAGAAGGAGCTGCCTCTTTAGAGGTAGCTTTATTGTTTTTCCTTCCACAACTTTAGTGGAAGTTTTTAGCCTTTTCTGATACACAAAAAGGCTGCAAAAATTCAGACTTTGCGTTGGTAATTTAATTTCTATCCTGTCTTTCAAGACAGGCATGTGTACCATTAAGAACTTGTAGAAAAGTCTCAGACTCAAGACAGTGAAACATGAAGGAAGTGCAGCAAGCTTCTTGCACACCTCCTAGCTTCCTCCTGCAGCCCTGTCTAGGCTCCCAAGTCCTACCTGAAACCTACGCCTCCTCTGAGCACAGCCCTACAATGCAGACACCAACACAGTTACGCTGAGCCTCCGTACTTCTCTAGAAGATGAACCACTGGCACACCAACACAGCCTCCACAACAGCTAGGGCTTTCTGCCCAAGTTCTCCTCCATAACCTCCAAGCAGAAGTGACTGCAGATTTTTAGCCGCCACTTAACTGCAAGCAAGCACAACTACCAATACAGCCTTCTAGTTTTAAGATTAAAAACATTTAAGCACAACTCTTCATCTATCAAGGTACTGCCATGAACTATGTTCTGGGAACAGTATACTGGCGTTTTACTAATACGTAAGCTGAAGAATGGCACAAGACACTAGATTACGCCTTTTTTATTTCAAAAGCTAGGATAGCTTCAATATCCATGTCATGGTGAATCAGAACACATGTAAAATACCTTACAATACATTAGATTCCAAAAAGGTACCAAAAAGTACAGTAAAATTAACACTTCCATTACAGGAAATGTATGACACAAAAACAATACAAAATAAAAAGGTGGAAAGTGACACTGGTTCCCTAAGATGCATCTCATTCTGTACAACTGGAGTAATGCAGAGTCCATAGTAAACTCCGAGAGGCAGTCCCTAGATGCAGAGCTGCAGCTTTAAGCAGACCCTCAAAATCAGTTTCAGTTTAACCTATTAATAAAATCATTAATTAATATCTTCAGCAAGGCTGAAATTTACACACCACACTGTCTAGACAACTAGTTATCTGTAAGTATTAAACATGTAAAACATTTCCAGGGAGCTCTTCCAAGTAAGATGCACATTTAACAGGCCATAGAAATTTATTGTAAAGTTAAATTTGGTACAGAACTGAAATATCCATCTACAGCATTGTATACAAAACCTATGCAGCCATTTTCCAAAAGAGACCATGCCACTGCATACCTGAATAAGTTTGATCAATATGGCTTGTAGTTATTCTGATGACCACCACGTCTTGGTGTCTTCCCGTAATTTGCACTGCCTTGACCTATGAATAAGAGAACAAATGCATTAAACTGCTAATTAGTTATGTTTGCTTATACCCAATACAGTTCTCTTTACTTACTGTAATCATAGCCTGGTCCATATCCATAATACCCATATCCTGAATAATCATAGCCTCCATAGCCACCATAACCTTGCTGATAGCCGTATCCTTGATTCCCATAACCCTGGTTCCAGTAATTGCCATAACCTTGATTCCAATTTTGACTTTGAGCTATAGAAGGGAAAACCATCCACAAAATCCCATTTTAGTACATACAACTTATTTAGAATGTGTCCATACTAAAGTAGTGCGTGTAGTACTTACCGCCGCCTCTTCCACCTCTGCCTCTTCCTCCATAGCTACCTCTTCCTCCACCGCTACTGAACTGTTGCTGCTGGTATACTTCTTTTGGCTGTGCTACCTTAATCTCGCACTGAAAATAAAAAACAAGGAAGAGTGTGTATACTGTCTTGCAGCAGCAGCACCCAACCTAACCACCTGGGAAAGCTAGAGGTTACTCTAGGGCCAAAGGAGGTATACGTGCTGTGCTCCATCACCTGACCAGGACCAATGCGTATCCAGGAGCATCTCGTTTACTGTGCCACCTGGGCTAAGGTAAGGCACTGCTGGCCATTCAAAGCAGGCCACTACTTTCAGAGGATTTTATACCACCTATTCCCTACCACCAGCTTCCCCATGGAACAGAAGAGTTACCCATTATGGGCCATTCGAAGCAGGCCACTGCTTTCTGAGTATTTTAATACTGCCTATTCTCTGCTACCACTTCCCCCGTGGAAGAGGTGCTGAGGCCACCACTCCTGTAGGAGCCACGAGGCCGACCTCTACCCTGACACAGCCTCCAAGAAAAAGCTGTTGCTGTTGGACCACTTCACCTGAGCTGTACTGAATGAACAAGGCTCCAAGAAATGCACCAGAACGAGTTTTACTGGCAGCCTTTGTACACCCATACACTGAGCATCTGTGTTGGACTGTAAGTACACTTACCAACACTTGAAATCATCACTTATCAAATAATAAACAGCTAAAAACAACCAGAACTGACATTCCCAAGACAGGTTCCCAAGCTGCAGTTCAAGCTGTCAGCCAGCTTCCTAGTTCCTGAATCTGTGCAGTCTCAGATGAAAGCTACTGCTGCTGTGAAAGGAACAACGCCCTGAGATAGCGGCACCTGAGCAAGCCTGGCTTGGAATTCTTCACACTGGAACTTTAAGGTAACCTACTCTTTGTATTTATTATCACTATGACATGAAAACAAGCCACAGTTATAAGATACACAGATATAATTTCTCACCTCCCCTTGCACACAAGAATTTATCTCTCCTGAAAACAAACTTTATTGCTAACTACAGTGTCTTGACAAATGCCAGTGCATTAGGTTTGCCGAAGTTCATTCTGTGCTGTAAAGAGCAGTCTTCAACTAAGTGCAATCTAAGTCACTGTGTCAGACAGCATGATCAGTTATAAAAGGGCTTTTAAGTTAGCATGTGGTCAGCACTGCCCATGGAGCAAGAGAAGAGGGACACCTCCAGCCAGCACACATTATTTGCCTCCAGTCCTCTTAGCTTAACACATGAGCCTGTTGGCCATTCCCACAGATGAGCCCTGTCAGCTGTTCAGAGCATCTCGTGTCACTTCCACAGTAGTTCACACAACCAGCTGACCACATACAAGTTGCCATAAGTGTACATTTACTCTCTGCATCCTTGTACTGAGTTTACTTGACAAGGTTTTGGTAGCAGGGGGTGCTTCAGAGAGAAGATGACACCAGACACTGCCCCCATGTCAGACATAGCCAGTTTTGGCCAGCTGCTTACAGTTAGGGTTTGTAAGCCTTGAATTTATGCAAGTGCTCTATCAGAAAATAGGTGTGTATTTGTTGAAATGGCTTATACTGCTAGACTGATACATAAATAAGCCAGTTCTTCCACATGTATTTAATGAACATAATTAGATACTTTACACACAAAAGCCCCTGAAACATGGCAAGTATTAAAGCCACAAGTATTGGCAAAGAACTTCGATAGCCTCTGTAACAGAACTTATGGCAAAAAAAGAGTGGTAAATTGCAAGCTGTCCTTATTGCAATTTGGATACCTTGAAATCAGAGGTCTGCAAAATCCTTTTCAGATTATAGATGTAGTGATATTATAGCTAATAACTTGGACAAAAATTTACAAGTCAAAGTTTCTACCTTGCTTCCACTGACGTTGTGGAATTTCTTCTCCAAAACCTTCTTCACCGGATCCTCTTCCTTGAAAGTGATGAACACAAACCCCCTCCTTTTGTTGGTCTTTGGATCCATTGGAAGTTCAATTGCTTCAATCTGAAGACATGAAATGCTCTTTTCAGACTTGTATTTTAGCAGAATAGTTAAGCGCACGGCATTTGGGATAGCAAAATGGAAAGGAAGTTTCCTATCTATCTATCTATGCATGTTATGCAACACCAAAGTTGCAATATTCTTAAGAACACTGGCTTTCAGACCAGAGCGTTCAGTTTCACAACTCTTAAAAAACAACTTTAGCATCAGTTAAAAAGGTTTGAGTTAAAGACAAGGGTATCTAACCAGCAATGGAAGCATCTAGCATCTAGTGCAGTATGTGCCTGCCTTGCTCTCAAGATGGGAAACCTCTGGATCAGTTACAGGCAGCTTGATACATCTGAAGTTAATTTGCAACTTGGAAATTATTACTAAACTAAAGAGCAACTGGAAACTGTACGTTTCAGTGGTTACCAAGATAAAATTACACACCTCTCCAAACTCTCCGAAGTATTCCCTGATTTTCTCTTCTGTGGCTTCTGGGTTTAGTCCACCAACAAATATCTTCTTCACTGGATCCTTTTTCATTGCCATGGCCTTCTTGGGGTCAATTAGTCTTCCATCTAGCCTGTGTTCTTTCTGTTCCAGAACCTGAAACGTAGTTTGATAGGATTAACTCAAGCTGAAAAGTTTCCTCTAGAAGTTAAGAATCCAAAATATGAAGCTTTAATTCACCTTTTCGACGCTCCCAGGTTCTTTGAAGAGAATAAATCCAAAGCCTCTGGATCTGCCTGTGTTAGGGTCCATCTTTATCGTACAGTCGGTTACCTCACCAAATTTGGTGAAGTAATCTTTCAAGTCCTTTTTGCTTGTATCCCAACTGAGGCCGCCAACGAACATCTTCCTGAAATTCCAAAGAGGTAAGAGCTGTTTAGATTGAGGAAGTACTACAGAAAAGCACATGCAGCAAGATGCTCCCAGTGGTACACACCTCAGCAGCATTGTCAGAAACAGGACCAACTGTTCAAAGTTAAACCCTTCTGCATCCTGTCAAAAGCTAGTGATACTGTAGGAGTGCACAAGGGTGGGTTTCCCCCACCTTTTGAGGGAATGACACAATGCATCCTTGAGTTTATTACGGGCCAGAAGAAACAGTGAAAACTGCCTGAGGTATTCCTCACCAGTAACATACGTTCTTTCAACAGTATTCTGTTCTTTGGAACAAAGCAGTATTGATTATCAAGTACTGCCAACGCAGTTTTTGTAAAGAACCTAGGATCATTCCCACTGCTTTGAAAGCATTCTTAAGGAATCAAAAGCAAAATACTTGAGCTCTTTTAGGATTTGGACAAATGGCTGTAAAAATTTTAGTCCTAAGAATGATCTGCAAAATTTAAACCAGGTATCTATGACCTCCAAGAACAGTCACATACAACTGATGGGACTTTGGACCTGCCTTAACTACTATGTTGTGCACTTCTTCCTGCTTAGTTACTGAACCTAGTTCTATCTTCGTCAGTACTACAGGAGTATCTCCACCATTAGTCTTTATGTTATGAAAGGCCAATACAGGGTTTCCCTGCCCACTTTCCCACACAAAGTATCCTGTGAAGCATCTCAAAGAATACTGGTGAAGTGCAATACAGAAGTGAAGCTAACAAAACAAAACGTAGATCAGTCAATAAGGCACTTCTCAAATGCCTCACTTCAAATCAAAACATTAATAACGTGGCTGTGCTTTCTATTTTCAGAGTTTCCGAGGTAACAAACTAAACTTTTAAAAGCATTTGAGCCTTTTTATCTAACTACAGACTAAAACAGTTTAAGTTGTTATTGCTCTGTTTGGAGGCAACCTAGATTTGGTACTAGAAGCTAGGAACGCTTTAGAAACTATATTTAAATAAAATGGCTTTTGTGTTTATGTTTAACTCCAATTTGCTAGAGCTAGCATCCATTTATGTTCAAAAGGCAACATGAGGAAAACACCTGCATATGCTATGGGTTTTTTTGCCTTTTTTCCTTAAACTGGATGAAACCATAGCCTTTGTAGGCTAAATCCTTATTTTTTTAGAAGATCAAGCTATGCACTCTTCACTGACAAATGCAGCACAGTACACAGGGTCCGAGTAAAGTCTGTGTGCTTCTTGCAACCATTAAAGTAGAGCCTTACAAAGTTTATTAAGCCTTTCAGTAACAGGTGAAATAAACATAATTTGATGGACCCCTTCTCATCACAACAATCACAACAACCAAGCACGACTGCTACGATCGGTAGAGTGACAGTGGTTTTCCCTAGCGTACCCTGTCATCATTGACTACACTTAAAGAATGAGCAAGAGAAATTCAGTGGTTGGGGGATGACAACAATTTGTCTTGAGGCAGCTTTAGTTGCTTTATGCTATCGGGTTGGGGCTGTGGTACACACACAGATATTGCCACATGCTAAATTCATCTCTTGCCACAGCAAGAGATATTACACTTTGTAATACAGTCCTTTGTTTTGTCATTGGAATGATTGATCCCTACATATATTTAAATAATAATGTAGAGCCTTTGAAATTCAGACCAAATTCCTAGTGTTTGGCTTTGCCTTCAGAGGCCACACAAACTGGACTATTGCACTGTTAACGCATAGTCTCTTTTTTTCCCTCCTGAATGTATTAGTGCAGCTAAATCAAAGCATGTTTCACCTCTTAACAAAACACTCTTAATGTCAGCATCCTGAACTCTGCCTTGGACAGCTCTTGTTTTAACACAGCGCTCAATTTTCCACATAGATCAATCCCTCTAAATAACTACTTTTCTCAGAAGTTTCATTTCACACGGATTTGGGGTTGAAACTTGTCACCTCCCATGCAAGAAAGGGAAAGA